AAGATTTGTGCTATTAAAATTAAAAATAGTCCCACATTGTCTCATGTTTTTTTGTCCATGACATGCCAAACATAAGACTTTTTTTTTTGTCCCGTCTTATCCCATATAGCCTGCATATCAAACACACCCTTGTAGCCATGGATATTAATTTGCTATTATTCTGGTCATTTGTAATAACCGAGATTAATCGATAAGACGTAAACTGATCCAAAAATTCATAATAAAAAATTCATTTTAATGCACCGATTACTAATAACACTGATAAATATCATAATATATTTAATTTGTAAAAAATTGCTATTAATTATTATGGACGTCATAAAATAATATTATATTAAGAAATAATAAATAATGGACCATGGACCACCTCAACCCGTCGAACCAGATGCATATTGCAGAAATACATACGAGTGGCTGGACCAAATAAGTGGACCACGGACCACCTCAACCCGTCGAACCAGATGGCATCGGACTCGCACCCCAACATGTGTATAGTCGGACAAAATTTTGTTCGACCATGGTTCATATTAGTGCTGACCAATTCTTTAAATAATTTTAACTTTTTCTTATTTTATTTTTTATTTTCTTAAATATGATTAATTTATCAGCTAACTTTTGAACTATCAACTAACTTATCAATCAACAGTAATATTTTAAAAGGCTCGCCATGGCTGCCACCTCATATCTCACGTCATGATAAGCCTATGACATGATATGACCGAATGTTTGGTTTTTGTAATGTGATATTTGATTTTTTTTAAAATCTTTTTAAGTCAGATTATTAGTTTTTAATACGTATTATTTAATTCAAATTGTTTAATATGTAATAACTCGTCTCACATGGATAGAAAGGGATTTGCGAGCTTCTTATAAGTCTCAAGTTGTTGGTTACCAATAACTTATACCATTGTTTTAATTGGATATGAAGTTAATCAAAGGCGATACTTGTAGCTCTAGGGTGTTACAAGGGTGGTGCCTGATTGGTTTGAGCTTGGCTCCATTGGTCAAAAGTATCATGAGGTCCCAGGTTCAAATCCAAGGAGGAATAAAAATCCCCTTGTGACCACAGAGGTTCAAATGTGGTGACTCCGAGCTATCTGCAAAGCAGGTGGTCGCTTTGGGATTAGTCGGCTCGCATAACAGGTTGAATATCCAGATTAATAAAAATAATAATAATAATATCATTGTCTAGTTGAGTAATAGTAAAAAAAAACATGTGTATATATACAACCGTATATATGATATATAAAACTATCACCATAATCGTCATGCCACGTCTCATGCCATTTTAAACTTTGTCCACCAACTAATTTGTCAAAAATAACCTTAATGACAAAAAAATCTATTTATTTTTTCAATTTTCTTATAGAACTTTTATATCAACAATTATGTTCGTAACCAGTAAAAAATTCACGTTTGTAATATAAAAATAGTTACTGATAATGTTCAAAAGGGTTAGATTTCGGTGAAAATAAATGTTACGGTGAGAAGGTGAAAAACAAAAACCTTTTATATACATTCATATATCTTCATCTGCATTCAATTTACCCATTTTGTCATATGTTGGGTCACCCATGATTTGTTGTTGACTCTCTGATGAATTCTCTAAATTCTTAGCATTTGTAATTTGATATCTTTTGGTTCTTGTACTGTAAAAAGTTTGGTATGTACTAAGTCAGTTCAGCGAATCGAAGACTAGTCGATACCTCGAGAAGTGGATCAACCGATGCGGATCAAAATGCACTATACAATTTGTGCACCAAGTTTTCTCTATCCGATATATATTAATCAGATAGTCTCCCTGACTATCGACTGGTCAATGTAAAGATTCGTCTGCAACAACTTTTTCTGACCAAATTTCACCAATTTTATACTTGACAAAGGCATTCACTGAAGCACCAAGAAAGACATGTGTGGCCTATTATTCTATTGACGTGACATTTCAGAAAAGACAGATAATTCTTCCAGTGACCGGTCCCCTTTATTTGTACTATGAAAATTACGCTCCAAAAAGTTATGACGTCAACGCTGAACTCTTATCTCCAAGTGACAAACGTCCCCATGCATTTAGTGCACACGGTGGTAATTAAAGCAGAGTAGTTTTCACATGTAAGGTTACACTTTCAACAGTTCTTTACATGCAAAAACCGAAACCCATGACTCTCTCAAAAGGCATAAAATTTCTAGTGGTAGTTGAGCTATTGTAATCTAAGTGAAAGGTTGTTAGGACAAAATTTAACCTTTCTTATTCTGCATTAATCTTGTTTTCTTAGTGTAATTCTGGATTTTAAATTAATAAAAAAAATTAAATAAGTGAAAATATTGTGTAATTGTATTCAACCACCCCCTTCTACAATTACTTATTAGGGTTTGCCATTTCCTTTCGGAACTAACAACATGCATGTGAAACTGATTAATGTATGTAAAAGTTCGTAAAAATGACTTTAAACTGCAGATAAATTTGAAGATAAAGGTAGATGAATGTAGTTGAAGATAGCTGAATACAGATGAATGTAACTGAAGTTACTGAAAGTAGTTGAAAAAAAATAAGTTCGATTAAATAGTCAACTAATCCAAAGGCTCGGAAGTGCTCCCACCGTTCTCACATTTTCCCTCGTCATGTTAAAAATGAATATAAATAAAAATAACGTTTATCTATTGATCCATTTGTTATAACAATATCTTTGAAGTATTACTCATTCCATCTCAAAATAGACGTCGACAATAAAAAAAAGGGCATACTACTATTTTAGACATGCATAACTATGACGTAATTTACTTAACCAAATGACAATATTACCCTCATTTAATTTCTCTCGCTTCGTAAATCTTAATTATTTTGCATTCATTAAGGGTAGATTTAAGAATTTTGTTATCTATTTTTGAAACTAAAAACTTATTTAAAACACACATAATAGAGATATGAATGCAGTAATTACAATATCTAATTTGAACCTCCATGGCCACAAGGGGATTTTTATTCCTCCTTGGATTTGAACCTGAGACCTCAAGGTACTTTTGACCTTTGGAGCCAAGCTCAAACCAATCAGGCACCACCCTTGTGGTTAAAATCATACGGTGACACATAACAGATTATTACGATTGCACCTTTCACGAATCTAAATTTTTTTTTACCCTTCGACGGAGGAATAATACGGTGACATGTGCCACCATAACCACCATGATAAGTCCGTCCATGCTTATCTCCCTCATCACCATCGTTGGAAATCAATAAAATATTTATGCGTCCAATCATCGGACATGTATATCGATAAGGGATATCTATGCGTATTGATGGATGTATGTGTGTATATTTTTTATTCGATTTAAAAAATAATAATTTATTATATAATAATCAGTTATGTAGAATAAAACTCAAATAAATATTATTGTGATTCTAGATACCATCTTTAACGTTAATACTCCGATTTATATCAGTCATAAGAACTTGAGAAATGTGAAACAATCGTAAATTACAATAACTTGAGAAAGTTATTTAAAGTCAATAGTTTTTTTTTTCTGTAAAAAGACAAAATCAGTGATATACGATAGTTTGATAGGAAACGCAGATATTTGTTGATTCAGAGTGAAGAAAATACGTGATAAAAAGCCAAAGTAACAACCCTCTTCACACGTCTTGGAAACAACTTGTAGGTGCAGTTCAAGATAATTAATAATTCTTATGTCAATAATGTAATTACTAGAAGGATACCCGCACAATGCATTGAGATATATCTCGATTTTAATGTTTCGTTTTACTTTTTTTTTGTCTCGATCGATGCTATAATACGGTTTTATGTAATTTTAAAATTTCTTCTTTTTGTGTATTTCTTTAATTCATTTTTTTGGTTTAATAATATACTTTTTATAAATATAATAATTAAGTATTTTATTAGAACTTAATGATTATTCTAATTATATTTTAGATTTCTTATATTTAAAATGAGATGTTTATCTTCTATTTGATTATCTTTATCTGCAGATTGCAGTTAGTTACATGAATTTAAACATGAAACTTTAATAAGTTGTATTTACGCACAATTTACTTGTACTAATAATATGCATCAATAAACAGTAGTTTATGCATAAAAAACGATTTTTAAGAGTTTTTGTCAAATGTTTTATAATATAGTATAGATAGACATTTAAAAGCAAAAAGAATTGAAGAAAAAGAGTCGAAAAATGAGCCCAAGCCCTATTGATTCATAACAGGTCAAAAGGTCGGATTGGGTTGGGCCTTCCCATTGGATTTGATTGTTGGACTCGATAATTTTAATTGATTTGGGTTTGAAATAGGAGCCCAACATCCTCTCTGAAATGATCAGTAACAATATTTTATTGTTATTTTATATTACTAGAAGGATAATCGCACAATGCAGCGACAATATCTCGATTTTACTGTTTCATTTTATTTCTTTTTTTTGTCTAAGTCGATGTTATACGGATTTTATATGATTTTGAGAAAGCGCTAACATATATAATTTTGAATAAAATATCAATATGAAAATATCATTAAAGAATTGAAAAAAAGATATTGATATCAGTACGAAACTAACTATTTAAAGTTTCTCATTTCTTGTGTATTTCTTTAATTAACATTTTTATTTTTGGTTTAATAATATGTTTTTTAGAAATATATTAATTAAGTATTTTGTTAGAAGCCAATGACTATTCTAATTATGTTTTAGATTTTTTATATGTAAAATGAGATGTTTATCATTTATTTGATTAGTTCAGAAATTATCATTGGTGGATAATAAATTATGTAATTACTTAATTGACCTTTGACTTATTTGTCTTTTTTGATGAAGGATTATCTCTTGGGGTCATGAGTTATTCTCAAATTAGATTGTTGTTCATTAGTTGATTCATTCAGCCGATGGTTTGAAATTTATTGTTATTTTTGTTTTAAATAATTCAGTTTAATTCAGAAAAATAGCAGACAATTTCAACATTAAATGTCTCATTTTTACAGTTTTGATATTTTAAACCCATTTTAATTCAAATAAACTTTATTCCTCAAAACTTTAGGAGGTGAGAATACTAGAGCTTCACTTTTTAATCGCTATAGTTTGGACTGGTGGCACCAGGTTCACAAGCCTTGGCGGCCGGCGACGCCTCCACCGCCGGTGACGGAGGAACGGGGGTTACAAGCAACTCCGACGGCAGATCATCAGCTAAACCCTGCAAGTAAAAGGTGTAGAACAACTTGAAGGGAAAAACCAGCTGTTGCAGTTTGACTTGACCGTAAGCTCCGGCAAATATCCCGGTTCCGCCGGTAATAGAAAGGTAGGTATCCTCCATGGTCAAGTAAGCTCCTTGCACCGATATCTGGCCGTAATCACCCATGTGAAAAGTGTAAATGGCTTCATACCTGTCACCTTTCTTCTCCGGTATGTTCTTGATCAGAATACATATTCCGGCGGTGATCCCTAATCTCGTCTGAAGGTCAGCACTGTACACCTGTATATTTGATCAGTCTATAAATCAAATATATATATATATATATATATATCCTAATGGATTTAAAACAAAAAAGAATCTAAATAAAAATTACTTTGTTGGTGAATGGAACAAGATCACCGAGCGAATTGACCGGTTTTTGGCCCAACCGGAGATACGCCGGACTTCCACGGTCTCTTTCGTTAATCTCATACACACACAGTTGTTGTACTTTTGCTGGAAACAATCACAAGAACCCATAAATACACACACAGTTGTGATACTTTGCTGGAAAACAATCACAAGAACCCATAAAATGAGGGGAAATTGACCCGAATAGCCGATCAAACCTCTCTTCTTCACTAGACATCACGTAACTTATACCTTTTTTCTGAATATCATATTGAAAAAACGGGTTACACAAGTGGCATGGTTGTCTAAGCTCTTGCTATTTCGGTCAAGATGCTGAAAAAGTGGCTATAAAGTGAAGAAGAGGGTGAAATTAAAATCTAACGAGTTGTACTTACTGGGCCTTGATGATTCCGATGGGTTAATCTGGCTCTTGACGGTAAATGATCTGCATTTGGCGGAAGCTGCGGTGATGGAAAGTTTGTTCAAAGGTAACGGGATGGCAAAGTTCTTGAAAGACAGGTGGTCAGGAGCGGCGGAGGTGGTGGTGGTGGTGGTGGTGGTGGGCAATGCCTTCACAAAGGAAGTGATGGACTTAAGAGTAGCTGATGCAACTGCCATTTGAAGAACGGAGATTCTTGTTTGATAAATAAGTATGTGTGTGTTTGAATATATAGAAAATTTGGAATGTAATATAGGTGGTGGTAATGTGGTTCGGAGTTTTATATTTAATATTCCAACAAATTTTTAAATAAATTATTAAATAAGCAATGTTTTTTATTTATAGAAAATAGCTATTTACATAAATAAATATTTTAAAAATAGTAAATTTTAAGAGAATTTCCAAACAAATTATTCAAATATTTATTACCAGAAACAATTTTTTATTATATTACCGTTATTAAAGACTTTGAATTTAATGTTTATGGGAGAGATTTAATATATTACTATATCAACAAAAAATTTAATAATATAATTAATGTTATAATCTTGAAAATAGAGAATATAATAGGATTAAATTTTTTAGAGTAAAATGCACGAAATAGTAACCTACTTTTATAATTTTCTTTATTATAGCAATCTACTTTCAGTTTTTCTTATTACAACAATGCACTTTTAAAATAATTTTTGTTAGTGTATTGTACTTTGAAAAATTTACCTGTTATAGCATTGGGTAACCTTTTAAATTAAATTTACCCATTATACCAGGTTTCTTTGTCACTTCATTGTCCATGTAGGTTGTCAACATGTACGATAGTGTTGACATATGCCATTTTTCTTACTATAACATTGTATTTTAAAAATTACTTTATTATAAGATCATCAATTTATATTACAACAACTTTTAATTTTAATATTTTTATCATTTAAACATCGTACATTTTAATCAAATATATTTACTAAAAACTATAACATTAAATTGTATTGATGATGATTGTATGTGTTAGCTATTTGGATTTGTTTGCATAAGTTTAAGAGAAAGTTTTTTTTTTAATTTAAAAAATATAATATCTAATTTAACATAAAACTTACATAATGGTAAAAAAGATTAAATTTCATGTACTGTTTGATATATTATTGCAGATATGTTAATGCTAAAAAAAGTTATCGATTTGGGTGTCTTTTGCCTTCTATGATACGTCAAAAAACAAAATAAAAAAAATGATATTTTTAATCTCAAATAATATTTATTATAATTTTTAGTAAACATATTTGATTAAATTTACAATGTTTAAATGATAAAAATATTAAAATTAGAAGTACAATGTTGTAATAGAAATTGATGATGTTATAATAAAGTAATTTTGAAAGTACAATGCTACAATAAAAAATATTATATTAGCACAGTCTACATAGACGATAGAGTAGCAAATAAACCTGGTATAACGGGAAATTTTTTAAAAATACGATGACCTAATAAAAAATATTTTAAAAATACATTGTTGTAATAAGAAAAACTGAAAGTACAATGCTATAATAAGAAAATTTGTAAAAGTAGGTTGCTATTTCACATAATTTATCCAATTTTTTTATAATTTTAAATTTTGATTCTCTATTTTAAAAAATCTGTCAAATATTCTCTAACAAACTTAATATAAAATGGTAACTTTCAACAATTGTTTATATAAATAAATAATTTCTAACAAATTTTATATAAAATAAAATAATAAATGCAATAACGCCCAACAAACTTATAAAAAATTGTTAATTTCCAACAACCAATAGTAAATAATTTCGTATTTTGAGCAACGAGGTGGAAAGGCAAAGAGAGATGGCATCACCCCCTTTTTTCCCACAATTAAATCAAATATTTAATTTTAAAAAATTCTTCAAATTTTAATATTTTTCTTAATTTTGGAAAAAGAATATTAATGTTATACTTAAAAATCTCTATTTACAAATTCTTTTAGAAAGAGGATTCTCTTTAATTTATTGAAATATTAGAAGGGTACTCGTACATCACATCGATATATATCTTGATTTTAATGTTTACCTTTTAGTTTTTGACTTTATCAATATAATACGGTTTTATGGGTTTTGAGAAAGCAATGATGTTTTTATCTTTAAATAAAATATAAATTTGAACATATTATAAAAAATTGAAAAAAATTATATGAATATTAATATCAAATTAACAGTTTTTTGGTGTAATTTCTTTAAATAAAAATTTTCTGTTATAATTTAATTTAGATTTAATAATAAAGTAATTTATTTTGGTTTAATAATATAATTTTTTATCAAAATAATAATTAAGCATTATGTTATGGGGGTGGCTAATGGCACCCCTATTCTTTGCTAATGCCACCCCTAATCCTCTATGTAATCATTTTTTTTTGTTTCTTTTTTGTGTTTTTGTCTTTTTCTTGTCTTGTTTTTTCTTTTTATATTAATTTCATTTTATTTAGTTTATTTAAATATAAATATATATATTATTATTATAAATATTATTTATTACCTTGTAAAATTTTTATTATTACTAAAAAA